TCTGGTTTCAGTGGAAAACTAAACTAAAGCCCACAGAGCTCTTTAGTGAGCAACAAATGGCACAACAACAAATGGAACTGAAAAAATGACAAGGTTGTCATTCCCCATCAGTGGTTTGGATGGAGTTCCTCCTCGGAGAAACGTTTAAAACGCTAGGGGGCTGAAGCCTAGCCAGGAAACAGGTGGTTTGCTTTACTAAGTGGCATGAGGAATGGTAAGTGAACTAGCACTGTGCCTGAGTCCAAACTGCAACAGATGTACTGCCACACACTCTGTGCTGCAGGAGGATATTTTTCATGTGATGCATGGAAAAGAGCAGTAACCCTTGTTTGTTATATAAGGTCTTGCAGGACTTCATTGGAAAACAGCCATTTTAACACACACACACACACAAAAAAGACATTCAAAATGAGTCACCATAGCCACAGTCAGAGTGCTGTAGCGTGGGCTTTCAGTTGCAAATACTCAGCTACACAGAAGAGACAAGAATTCGCTATTAAAATGCTAGTTTCTACCACTAAATCCTTGAACTGATGCTAATATTCAATAATTAAAAATATTAATTTAGTCTTAGTACAGTGACAACACTAAAATAATCATGCATGCTGTCGTGTATAACATTTCACAGTGTTTTCCAAAACCACCAAGGTACTTTATTCAATGTGAGATGTTTTTAATCTCCTAGTGCAAGGTCCTTCACATAGACCTTAACGAGACAGCATAATTTAAGAAGCTAATTTTTTACTGCCACCTGATTAGGTAGTTTGCTATTATTTAGCTCTTTGTCTGTATTGAACATTTGTGTGTGCCTAAGGTCAAGTTCAGGTATAGCTATTTCAAGTCATTTGAAGGAGGCTGATGGCGACTTCTTTCATCTCCACCCCCTAGAATCATAGAACTGGAAGAGACCTCAGAAGGTCATCAAGTCCAGCCCCATGCTCTAGGCAGGACCAATTCCAACTAAATCAACCCGGCCAGGGCTTTGTCAAGCCGAGACTTAAACACCTCTAGGGATGGAGACTCCACTACTTCCCTAGGTAACCCATTCCAGTGCTTCACCACCCTCCTAGTGAAATAGTTTTTCCTAATATCCAACCTGGACCTCTCCCACCACAACTTGAGACCATTGCTCCTTGTTCTGCCATCTGTCACTACTGAGAACAGCCTCTCTCCATCCTCTT